GATGACTGCGACCAGTCGGACAGATTTTCTGCGCCAGTTGTTATAAATGATCTGTCAACCCACATGAGAGTTCGCAAGATCCATTTCTTAGGCTGGGAATGATCAATACCAACTGCTTGCTAACTGCAAAAGAAAGAGGCTGCAAGGGTGTTAACATCATCCCTTATTTCACTGGACCTGTGCTTTAAATCTTTAAATTCTGATGTTATAGTATTATTTATTTTTTCTGTATACATGGCAATGATATTTTAAGTATTGTATATTTCTGTTAGCAACACAGCCTAATTGTTTGTGTCAGTAATATTTTTGTAAGATAACCTGCAAACCTCCTGTCAAATGTCTGCAGACTGTTAATGAATCTTGGGAATGATTGATGTGCGTTTCCCAAATAAACCTGTAAACCGACCTCATTTGAAGAAAATGAGCATGAAATGCAGCGTTAATTGTAAAAAAACCAACAACAGAGAAACAAGGAATTAATCACAGATTGTAGGAAGCTTGAGAAAGGTAAATAGTAATTCAGATTTTAAAAACAAGTGTCATTGAGAGTGCATCTTTGTGGTCTTAGGATAATTAAGTTTATGCGACACCAAAATTGATTTTGTTTTTTTGAATGCAACGCATAACTGCTTTTGTGCAACCAAAATGTAACTAAAATTCCTGCATTAGACATTTTTCTGTCTGGATTTTTCCTTCGTGCTAACAGCAGTCATTTTTATCTTTTTTTGTTTGCAGTTGTGAGGATGAAAAAACTGAAACATGAAAGCTTGGACACCAAAAAGACCACTGTTGATTGGTAGCTTTTGACCACAAATCAATGGCTTATGCCAAAGAGACTTAACACAACAGTGAGCTAAATCCCTAATTTTTCCATTGGCACTGAATGGGTTGTAACATGGTATTTTGGAACAGCATGAGGGGACATCTCTTCAAGCGGAGACTGGAAATTGATTTCCTCTTTGAAAACTCACTCATTATCATGATGGTGCTAAGAAAAAATAGTTGTTTGTGGCCTTGAGCTCAAATGTTTATTTTGAAATGCTGTTAATATTAAACCATTTTTGTTAACTTTGTTTAAAAGTACTGCTGTAGGTCGAGGTCCATGAACTGAAATATTGGTGTTGAATTATTTAGCTCAATTGTTAACAGAAACTGGGACCTTACCGCTAGCAAGATCAATATTTAGATACTGTAAACAGGAAAATATTTCTTAAAAATGACATAACAATCCATATACATACTGTAAGTGACAATCCAAGAAGTATTTGCCATTACAATGTTCCGTTTCCTGCATTCAGCAGTTTCCTTTTTTGTCCTCTCGGAAGTAGTCTTTTCTCTTTGATACAAAGATGGCAGGGGTTGGTTTTCAAACTTAATCCATTACAGTTACAAGTTATTAAAAATCAGTTTTTAAATTCCTAAGATGAATGTGTAAAATATTGTTCTTGTAATGTTACACAGTAAATTTGTATACTTTACATTTATAAATATAACAAATTATTTAAAAAATTATTTTGCCCATCTTCTTGTTAATTTTTTAGTATGTAATCCCTTTCTTATATGTTACAAGTAACAAGTGTAAGTTACTTGTTACAAGTAACTTATAACCGTAACTTTTCCCCAGCACCTGTTTTATACAAACCATTATGAACTTTTTATACACTACAGTATGTACCACCATCTTGTATACATTGCCTATAGGAAGTCCATATCCCCATATTTTGTTGTGTCAGTATCTTGGTGATTCTTGCATTAAATGAAGATTTTTACCTTACTACAGACTTTTAAGGTGACAGAAGTTTTTATTAGGATAAATATATATTAAAAATACAAATCTAAAATATCATAATTTTACAAGTCCCTACTTCCCTGAGTTAATACTGGGTGGAAGCGCCTTTGGCAGTAATTATAGCTGTGAGTCTGTTGGTTTCTACCAACCTTGCACACCCAGATTTGGCAATATTTCACCTTTCTTCGTTACAAAACTTTTCGGGTTCCGTCAAATTCCTGAGGAAGCATCGATGGCCATCAGTCTTCAACTCAAGCCACCAATTTTTGATTGGATTTGCAGTATGTCGGAGGCTGTGACTGGGCCTTTTGTTCATAAGCCGCAGTGTAAGCAGTGTATCTTTGGCTATGTGCATTGGGTCATTGTCATGCTGAAAGGTTTGCTCCTGTTTCAGCTTTCTTGCAGTGGGCAGCAAACTTTCCTTCTGCTTTCTGTACTATACTTAATTTTCTATCCCGAGAAATGCCCCAGTCCCTGCTGATGGGATGACGATCCATATAGTACTGTAGAAATGGAGTTTTTGGGGTGATGTGCTGTATTAAGATTGGACATTGGACATTTTGGCAACCGGGGTATTTCATTTTTTTTTTGTTTAAATCATTCTAGAATAAATTTACTGCATTTTAATTCCTGGCTATAAGACCACAAAAGGTGAAAATCCTGGAAGGGCATGTGGTATTTCTACAGGCACTGTACATGTTACAGCACATATTACAGCACTAAAGGTGTAATTGCTGAAGCGCAATCTTAATTAAAATTACGCTGAAACTGCAAAATGCTGCTCTATTTTCTTTACCAGGGACCTCATAAATAATCAAGTTACCAGAACAATTAGCATCTCTAGACTGATTGTGTCCTGAATGGTGCATGCAAGGGCAGACACATTGAGAAATATACAGTAGATCAGAGTGTCAAAGCTGGGTTTCAGTCCTGATCTTACAGAAAGTGCACAATCCTGTTTACTGGACTTTCAGTCTGCAGTAAACAGACAAATGATAAATGTGCGTGAGAGAAAAGAGTTATGTCAACACATCCAGAGAATTACTGAAAGCAGCCGCTGAAACTGAGGGGGAGACAGACCCTTATATGAGTGGGAAACTCCATAATAACTCACTTTAATAGTAAGGTGTAGGCCTCGCTGGATTCTGCTCAGTGCAGCAGATTTGTGCCGTGCATGTTCACTTACAGAGTCCTTCTGAAACATTGATGAGAGCAGAGTGCTGCATGCGCTGCAGTAATCCTGTTCAACGTATATTGTATATAAATCAGTGAAAGCATGTGGTTTTGTTCCCTGCTGTTGCCGCAGTCTCATTTCGTCCTTGGTCTAAGATTAGTGCATACATCAAAATGTCTTGTACTGTAGCTGATCATGTAGCCCTTGAACTGTCTGCTTGTTTACTTGAAAATATGTTTGTGTGTGTGTGTGGACGATGTTTCATTAGATAGTTAAAAGTAAAATCATATTATGTTGTCTGCACTTTCTCCTTTTTAAAATTTTTAGATTTTATTAATTTCACATACTTTAGCTCCTCCTAATGTTTTTTATTTTATTTTCAATGTCTACAAAGTCATTTTGGAGCTTATATTATGAACTTAAATTAGGTGCTTACATTTTCTGTCATCTTCCTTACTCTGCTATTCATTTGCTGAGACCAGAAGAAATAACTTTAGAAATAAATAATTGTAACGTACTCATTGGAACCAACAATTCATTAATTGGAAATTGTTTTCTTCAAAAGGGTTGCCAGAGTTTCTTAAGTTATTAATTTAATGTCTTAATTTTTTTTAATGCTCTGCGATGGGCTAGCGTCCCATTTAGGGTGTATCCTGCCTTGTGCCCTTGATAGGCTGTGACTCCCCCATTAGCCTGAATTGGATGAAGCAGTTAGAAGATGAATGGATGGAGACTTTTATTGATTTCAGCTCAGCTGTCTTTAAGACTTAGACTGAGGACTGAGCTTTTGAAATTTTACAATTTGTAAAACTCAGCTGTTGAATTTAGGAGGATCAAGACATCACTGATAAGATCCTGTTGAAATAATTCTTAAATACAATTCCTTAATTATTTTATGTATGACGGCAGTTAATAGATCTTTTCAAATGTAGCTAAGTTACACTACTCTTTGGCCATAACAATAAAAAGCTACACCTAATTACAGTTTTCTTATATTCTTATATTCACACAAAGGCAAGGTGCAATTTTAAGGTTGTTTCTGAAAGGTTATTAACAGTAGTGTCAAGCAGTTAGGCTCTAGAAGTATTCCTTTGATAACTTTCTGTAGTATAACATTTATGGTAACCCTCTAAGGCCTGCAGGCAGGTAGGAAAAGCTTTTAATGACAAAGGTCAGAAATTCATATCTATGGATCATGGACATGGCACATGGTCTACATAGTTATGTAGAAATATCTAGTTGGAAATATCAAAATACAGTTCATTAAACAAGCCAATCAGACTTCCTGCTGATTAGAAACAGGAAGAAGGTAGAAACATATGTGCTGAAAACACTAGTGCAAGTATTTACTGATAAAAAGCCAATATAAAGATTGCATCAGAAATAAAAAAGGCTTTATTTTTTAAGATTCCTGAAACAAACCAGTTAAATAAATCAAATCTAATGAGCTGTATGTTTTTGCTCCATGACAAGGTTTTAAAATGAATAAACAAGTATGTTTTCAATTTCCTGACACCGGCCACAAAAATGTTTGCTACGTGGTTCTTAATTTTTTTAAACACAATTAAGCGGATCTCTTTCTAGTCTGATATTTAAATTGCAGATAAGCTCTGGTGTGCAGCAAAGTGCATATTCTCGTTCCGTGAAAACTATACCGAGGTTTCCTTATGTTCAGTTCTTAAGAGGACTTATGCTAAAAGTCCTTGAAATATGCACAGCACAAACAGGATGGAACATTGGTTTAGTATTGTAATTGCAGGTTTTCAAAGCAGCCAGTTTGGTCTGAAACATTTGACAATGCACAACAAACACCTACAGTACTGTATATACTGTACCATACACTCTCATGGGGTTTGCCATAATTGGGTACTCTTTCAAAACATATATACATTTGGATCAATTACTTCATATTTTTTCTTTATAATTGTTTGCTTTTCTTAAGGAACAATATAATTAAACATTAGTTTTACAGTACATCTTGTTGTAAATAGTTTCGGCATTGAAGCATTTTATGTCTATGTCTGGTCTTTCTTACAGATTACTGAAGTGTGCGGCGCAAAACGTCTGGGATATTTTGGCACGAAGCAGTTTTATATTGCTCTGAAGTTATTAGCTGCAGCACAATCTGGTCTCCCGGTAGGCCTGGAAAGCATTAAGAGTGGTAAGTCATGAGCCGTGGTCTTGTGAGCACAAAACTGGATCAGGAGCTTAACACATTGGGGGTTGTTTCTAATCGGAAGGAAAAAAACTACGTCCTCAGTATAGGCAAAAAGGCCCCCCAAAACTTGTTCAAATCTGTTTAATGAAACCTGTTTAATGTCTCTTTGAAATGTCATCAGTTGCAAGATGTTATATTCTTTTCAGGCTCTTCTGAATTTACCTCCTTAAAAATGATGTTACACTCCTTTTTAAAGGCTAGACACTTCAGTCTGTGAACACAGTATAGTATGTAGTAACATCAGGTGTGACCTTATTGTAGTATATTCCTAGGTTTCTAGGAAGTAAGCTTTAAGACCTTTTAATTAGAATTAGAATATCTGTTACTGTATATTATGTTGACATTTAATATTGTTTTTTAATGTACAAAAAAAAGGGGGAATTCAAAAATAAGGATGCGCTCTACCAGCCCCTTACGGTATTTGCCTTGCTGGTATATCTTCCTTTAATCACTTTGTTTTCCTATTAACTTGTGTGGCTTTCAATGTTCTTCTCCTTTGCTCGCAGAGCTGCCCCTCCCCAGAATTTTAGGGATGAAAAATGACACAGAGCTACGGTATCCAAACCATTCCAAAACCACCGACAGCCAGGGACATCAGTCTGGGACACCATCTGTGATGATTCCTCGACCCCTGTTGGACAGGAACTCCTACCGGCACACGGAAAGTACCGCTGATAAGCAAGTAAGGAGTGGCCCCTGCTGTGCTTCCTTGAAATCCCTTTCGGGAACACTATCTCTCATTCACCACAGCCCTGCCCAGTATGTCAGCCTGATCAGTCACTTTCATGTTCATGCTTGCGTCAATGTGAAAATCTACAAACAAAAACACAATGGCCAAAACTAAAAGGAAATAAATCCCAGAAATTCACTTTAACGTCTTAGATGTACATTATTAGTTGAATCTGTTTCTATGAAATAAGCTGTGTGCTCTTTCCAGATAAAACGGCTTACTTGTTGGTGAAAGATTTGATGGGATTGTGGAATTCAAGAGAGGATGAATGAGGTCATCTGATCAGCTACTAGATCCACAGATTAGCTGCTAAAGAAAAGACCAAATGGCCCAGGTCCAGTGCTACATTTCCTTGGTCCCCAGTGCAAAATTGTTATTCTGGGCGCCATTTTGTTTTTTTTCACCCTAGGGTAGGGAATGCCCTGAGCCACAGCAATCCTATCAGGTCTGGGCCCGGGTGCGTATCACCTGATGCCAGCTCTGAAATGCCCTCCTTCCATCTGTATCCTTTCTTACGTCCTTATTGGACATATCTAAAAATTGTACTGAAAGGCATAGATTTTTTCAGATTTTAAAATGTCTTCATTGCATGGGAAGACTTACTCTCACAGCCCCCTGATAAGCATCATCACTGCTCTCCACAAGTGCTGCTTAGTTTGTCACTGAGGTCAAATTATTATCGTGTAGCCTGTAATTAGCTTCTAAGGTCAAATCTCAGGTTAAGAGCTCAGCTCTGGGGAGAGATATGATGTGAGAATGAGTCTCAAATTCATAAAATGGTAAATTAATCATAAAGTACTAATTATAGTAGGTAGCTTCATCAGCATGCGTGGGCTGCAAAGGAACAAGTAAAGGTTTATTCCACACTGAAAAGAGAAGAAAAGAAACACTGAAGAAGGCTCCACAGCCGAAACAAAAGTACTAAATACTAGAATTACTGCTTAATAATACTAATTACTCTGTATTATTACTTATTATCACTACTTTTGCTATTACTAGAAAGTAATTAATAATAAGGTAATTTAATCATGAACTCCTAAATCTTTAAGACATCCATTGAGCTAGGTATTCGTATGTGGAATGCATGTCATTTATTAATTTCAAATACCTAGACAAAATCCTTGTCATTTTGAATGCACTTTGTTTTGTTTTTTACACTTGTTTTACAATCGAGAGACTTTCTGTAAGTAAGAATTCCATTGTACCAGTACCGGTTACATATGGCAATAAAGTTCAAGTTCAAGTTCATGTGTGGTTTGTTTGTTTTTTGTTTTGTGACAGGAGCCCTGGTCCCCTCCATGGTCTCCGCACAGCTCCCCACCCGACTCCCCAGCTAGCCACCCCAGCTCCACCCACAGCTACACCTCCAGCAAACACAGAAACAACCCTGAGCCTCTCACAGGTAAGAGAACACCTACAGCCTGCCTCATCGCAGGTATCAAGAATGTCCATTACAGCCATGTGTTCAAAGGACATGCGTTCACCCATGAGATATCTACTGTAAGTCAGAAAGTGGGTAGCACATAACACAAGGAGCTGTAATCATCTCAGCCCAACTACCTAACCGTACAGGAAGATTCATTGGCATTATTCTTTAAGCAGCTTGGGATGCCAGGGTGGAAAAGAGCTTAAGGCTCTCCAGCTGCTGACCAGAGGGTTCAATCCTCTATAAAGGTGAGGATACTGGTGCTGCCACCTGGAGCAAAGGATTTGACCCAGATGATGCCACCCAAACTCATAACTTGTTACTAAAATGTGTATGTACTGTATAAAAAGAATAAGTCAATGTAACCCATGTAATTCGGGACCAAAGAAGTTAATAACAAGAGGAGCTTAATGTGGTTCTTGCATTTGTAATTGGCAACAAAACTAGAATCATGATCAATCACAGTGGCCCCATTTCATTTCGAACCTTTCTAATGCCGGTTTTGATTAATATTAAATTATATTGGTTGTGTATACAATACCCTTATCATAGGTACCTTCTAAGAATTACAGTAGAAAATGCATTAAATAAAGGGACAAATCAATCAAAACTCCCTGGAAGGGAGGAGTATGAGCTAGAGGTGTAGGTGAGGTTGGGAGGGACTGGTGAGGGAGGGACTTTGGAGTCAAGGAAAGAGGGAATGTCCGCCAGTGACAGAGAGAAAGGTGAGGGAAAGCAGTGAAAGATGTAAAAAAGTTTGTTGGGGGATTTTGTTAGTTGAAGCATGATAGATAGGTCTGGAGAGAGTGAGTTAAAGTGAGTGAGTGCAGAGCTGTTCTCTTCTTTTTATATCAGCTATTATATCCTCTTTCATCTTACAGTTAACCAAAAATTACATTTTTTTCCAGTAATAAATCAGTAATTTCAGTCACATTTTTGCTGTGGGTTTGAGACAAAGGTTGTTTTTTTTTTATCTGTTATCTTTTATGCTTAGTAAAACCTTGTATGCATTGCACCGTGGGGAAAAGAAATGGTATTTAAAATTCTTGAATGCTGTTAGATTCCAGACATGTTTTGCAATCCCTTCTTTCCTTTTTCCCAGAATCAGGGCAGTGACCATAACCTAATCAGGGGTAACAGCTTGTCAGTGCAGTCTTCAGGGTAAAGTTACTGGCCTGCCTGCCTGCAGGACATTGGCAAAATAATACTTTTAAAATTACAACATTTGTGCATGATTATCACATTATTTTTTCTGTTAAAATGGGTTTCAATAATCGTTTGCTCAGTGATGTGCCCTTTTTAAAATACATTACTATCAGATGTTAATGCTGCGGGTCAGTTACAGTCTGAGATATTCCAAAATGCTGGATTTGAAAAGAAGTACTCTACGCTACATTTCTGTGCATTCCATGACTATAATGTTAATTAAAACTGTCTCTTGCGTTTCCTTGAGGTTCACTGAACTGACAGACACTAACACTATTAGTATGCAGTGCAAACAGCTGTTACTGCACCCTGCATTACCTGTGTGGAAGTAAAAATAGTTGTTTTTTTCAAAGCACGTTATTAGTCTCATCCCTTCATCCTTTTTCTTAATCCTAAATCCTGCCTGCCTTGACTTCTTCATACGGCAGTGTTCATTACAATATTTTCTTTGTTTGTTTTCTAGCGGTGCGTCTCAACTCTGTGCCTAGACTAATGACCCGTTATTTTTCTGTGTATCCATAAGCTGCAAATTCATTAATACAAACCACAGAGGCATTGTTTGAAAGCGTTTAGCAGCTAATTATTTCTGCATTGTTAATATCACACCAGGATCATCTTAAAATTACAAGATGAATACATTTAAAAAGTAGTACTTATTTTACACATTATAAACAAGATATACTGAAACATATGCTCAGCGTAGGGGACTTGATGCACCTGGTATATACTCTACTGTACTGTATATATAGCATTGTAGAAGTATAGCCCATGTGGATCAGGTTCCGTTTTCTTAGTTAAGCGATATTAGCGATGAGTAAAGTGGACTAAGATAGGGATCCCCCAGGCAGCAGTACACAGTTGACAGGGATTGGTAGTCCACGGCTCTTTCGGCTTTCAACAGCACATCGAACCCTGCGACATCCTGTGCACTTTGGTAGAGTGAGGGATGTGCCTCTCCACCGGTGTGGAGCCATGTTGCCTGTGGTAAGTTAAAAAGACACTCTCTGCTGTGTGTGGTTGCTGGCTTCAGAGCTGCAAGACTGGCATCCCTCCTTGGTGTCTCCAGAGAGTGCTGGAGCCCCTAAGAGACGAGTTATTTAGGACAGCGGGCTTGGCACTTGTTTGTACTGTGCAGCCCACAGGCCATTTTAGCAGAGCACCTGTGCCACTGTTTGCCTCCAGAGGGTCATGATGAACTATCCATTTCATATTCAACTATGGAAACGGGAAGAGAGAAAAATGTTTTGGGTCCAAATTTGGAAAACTCGTGATTTAGGAAGAGAAGTCAGTAATGGTAATCTGAAAATTCAAATGGGATGTGCGGTGCTAATGACTTTCCTTAGCTAATCATGTGGTAACAATTCTTTTTACTGCTATAACTTATTCCAAGGGCAGCTTGCGGTTGTAGGGGTTGGTGCTACTGCTGTGGCATTTGTATATTCTCCTTCTGAACTCATGGTGCTCCGGTATCCTCCTATCCATCAGAAACATACTGGGTGGGTTTGATTGGCTATAGTAAACTATCCCTTCTTCCATGGCCCTGTGATGAACTGGGATATCCAATGCAAGAGCAGGCATGTGCTCTTAGTCCTACCTTAAACTCTGTGCTGTTTGGAAAGGTTTTGGGGTTGCCAGGACCTTACCCAAGTCAGGCAGCTCTCTAGCAGTTGAACCTACTGTATAACAGGACAGAGCTTATATTTCTAATAGCAAAACAGAGTTGGGGTCAGCTGATGTTTATTAATTCCGATTACCTCTTGAACCATTTCTCAGTTCAAGTTCTTCGTTACATTCACAGATGTGGAATTAAGGTAAGATTTGAAGAGAGAGTTATCTCTAATTCACTCCAACCATGCAGCAAAAGACTCAAAAGTTGGTTGTTGTTATTGTAAGGAGAAAGACAAATATGAGTTTGTCTGTTCATTTTCAAATAAAGCACATTATATCACACTTCAAAGGCTTCCAAGCCCAGCATAGCTAAATGGTTAGATTTTTAAGTTTCAACAGATATACATTTGAGAGTTTACACATTGAGGTCAGATAACCTTGGTTGAGTCTTAAGATGTGGGAAGGATGTTAAATCTCCTCTTGGTTTCAGAAGTGATCAAAGTTCTTTGTAAGAATTGTTTTATGAACAGTTATTTAATGTTCTGTTTTGTTGCTGCACTGGTTACTAAGCAACCTTGAACATCAGGTGTCCCATTGTCCTAGAATGCCCGGTACATCCCTATTCAAATTTCAAGCATTAAATAATTAAGTAATGGACTACAACTATTTTAAATAATACCCTTGAGTAAAATGAACTAATCTGTTTACTATCCTTTATTATATTTAGTGTTTTCTATTCACAGTTCTAACTATCAAGCTTACGTACCAACATAATTATCAGTGTATACTTATCTCGGTATGAGGAATTAATTGTTGGTAGTAGCAATCATGTTCTTTATAGTTGCACTGTAAAATATTTCCCAAAGCATTGTTTTACTTCATGTATGATGTGGCCTCATGCCTGGTGATAAAACTCACTGAAAAGGCATCAGCATCAGTAAGTCTAATTAAAAGTTGTCACCTTCAGGACTGTCACCTCAACAACCTCATCAAATCAGTCTCGCTCTTGGCATACAAACCAGCTTAAAGCAAGCAGAAGGGAATGGAATTCATATTCAATACAAGCCTTTCTTTTTCTTAATTTTACAACTTGTTAACCATGACTCTTTTCTTAAAGACTTTTTAATGACAGTAGAACAACTTCAGGTGAAGGTGAAATCGACATGATTGGCAGCACAAAGCAAACATATACATAGCAAATGTTCAAGTGATCTTCATAGTTTTCACAAATTGTCTATTGTTTGTATTAAAAACAAATGTAGTGACACTGGTAATTTGTTGCTGTTCTCAAGGAATTACCTACATTTAGTTTAAAAAGACAAAGGCTCTTCTTTAGCAAATAGCAGTATTGTGCAAGGTCTTAAAGGGTTCAGTATTTAATTTAAAAGTAGTCAATGGACTGAAATCGCTATGTGAAGCTGTCCTTTATTATGACGTATTGGAGCAGAAACAGATCAATTATCTGAGCAACAGATTGTTCTCTCTAGATTATGGAAGCAGTTATATGAGGAATTAGATACTTCTAACTGTAATTCTGTAATGTACCAGATGCCACAACACTATAATAGCAGAACCAGTATCTGGAGAAGTGTGCTATACAGTATGGCTTCATGTATATAGCATATAGAATAAAATCTGATTTAAAGCTATCCTTTACTGAAAATGTTTTTGTCCTGCTCACAGTGGAAGCACACTAGTTTTCCTTCATCATAATGCCAGTCAATTGAATGAGATTTGTGCTTGAGATAAGAGATGTGAGAACAGCAAGTGTCAGATCAGATTTGACAAGACAACTGCTATGTACTGTAGTACTGAACTGTCATGAGAGTGAGGAAATGCTTGAAATGGATATTCTTGTTTAAAGTAAAAGAAAGTGGAAAACACTTTTGGAACGTATTTTTTTTGAAAAAATACATAATATTTAATAGTTTGGGAATCCACACAGCACAATAGATATTGGTATTGACAGTGGTATACCTTATGCATTCTGTGATAGAGATCAGTCCCAGCTTAACACACTGTGCTTGAAACAATGAATCAAATAAGCCTGTAAATTGATTTCTTGAAAACTAGTTTGCTTTCTCAAGCAGGTCAATGAATCTGCACAGTAAGCAGTATCATCTAAATAAATGGCAGAGAATAAGAAATGAAGGGAAAATGTATGGAAAAAGGAAGGATGTCAATATGCAGCAGCAACATATTATTCTATTCCAAATTAAACAGTGTTGGGAAAAAATGCATCATTCAGTCCAGCAATGCTGTTTTCCGAAGGTATCAGAATGTCTGACACTGCCTTGAATAATTTTACATAATAGAGCATGTGAATAAATGAATAATAGAGCATGCAAACATGCTCTGTTTATTTATCTGTTTACATATTTTGGTCAACTTTCATACTTGAAGTACAGTAAAGGTATCTGAGATCTATGTGGGAGTTATTCACTAAGACAATGAGGACAAAGTAGGATATTTCTCATACAGTAGATACGAGAAATAGATACAAGATACAAGCTGCTTAGCTTCAGTGGGTTGCCAGTTGTGAGTTGCAGGGTGATATGGCTACTGGTTGCTGACCCAATAGATAGTTCGAACAAATACCAATTTACTAAGAAATTCTAGATTGAAAATGTTAAGTAATTGGCCTAGTTCAAGATGAGATAAGTGAAAAACTAAAGAGCCAATTGCAATTACTAAATCCAAGGTTTGACCTTTGTTATGAATTGGGTTAAGAACAAACAGGGTTAGATCAAAGCATTCCAGCAAAGCTAGAAAATCCTTAGCTAAATTGGAAGGCCATGAATCAACATGACTATTAAAGTCACAAAGAATAAGGATCCTCTTAAATCTCAAACATAAAAAAGGTAAATTGGCAAACTCGCCTAAAAAGACATCATTAGGCTTGGGGGATCTATGACAATAACAATAATAGTAGAATAGGGAACAGAGACTTTTAAAACAGGACACTCAAAAGAAGAGAGAATACTGTAGGTACAGTAACAGGACTGAAAAGGAGATTGTTAATAATAATTGATACATTTATGCCCCCACCATGGCTGGAAGGGTGAGATTGTTCAAACAAACTGTAAGTCAGGTGGGACAGTTTTGTTAAACAGAAGACCATCATTATGTATGTGCCAGGTTTCAGTCAAACAGAAAACCAACCTTTAAACAAGATAAAATCACAGTCTGTAGCTTGGGTATACATGTAAAGGACTATTTAATAATGGTAATGATGGTCTGTGGAGTTATCAGTTTCTTGATCCATCCAACTATTAATAAACTATTATTTATTCAATCATTATAAGTCCTCAGAGAATGCAATAATATAGTTCTTCTCTTGAGCCTTTAGCTTTGTTTACTTTTATGCTGTACTTTCCCTGATTCATCCCTGAATAGCAGCACTCACTGCTGAAGGTAATAGGTTCTTTGACAGATGATGTATTGTAGTTTGATTTGATGAAACCTGTACATCAACTAATTTCTCAGAGGGATCTGCTACCTCTCAGTGGAAGTGTCATGATCAAGATCCAGATGTGACGGAGGGCCAGCCATTTTCACATATGTCGACTTTGCTACCCAAAGCAAAATCTGGATTTTCTCAGGGCTCCAGTTATACACTCAACAGTTCCCATTAACACCAGTCTCAGCAGCAGCAAGGAAGCTCAATCAAAAATAACAGCCAAGAGCTGACAGCCCCCTTCAGGCTGCTGCACATGCTTTAAGCATGATACTTCAGGCACGTCAAGCTGAGAAGTATTCTAACAAAGAAAGCCCTTTAAAATGCATTTAATAAACTGACCGTTGAGTGGAAATGTTTGCTTCAGGACTCACTTGACCAAATTTAAATGAAGCTGATAGATCTTCGGATGCCTGGAAGCTCTGTTTCGTTCACATTAAGTTTCTTGAGAGTGTTTACATCTGCTTTGCTTGCATCAATTTCTGGAGATCAGATAGAGGTGGAGCAGTAGATCAACTTGAGGACTTGCCATGATGATATTTCCACCAGCATCAAAGCCTTGCTATTAAGAAATCAACAGCAGACCGACAGGCCACTGCCTCTGGATGCCTGAGAAGCGCTTTCCTCATCAAGTGTTCTTCTCCCAGCTCTCCATTGGCCAACAGTTAGTGGGTGGCCAAACAGGTTGTAGACAGAAATGGACAAGGCTGACCTCAAGCATGGAGACCTTTTGACCTTCCTGAAGCTGCTGAGCACTTGACATGGCACCACATGGCCCATCAAGGCATGCACACTTTGAGGATCAGTGTCCTGGCACAAAGGTGGAACGGCAGCGATGGATGAAGAAAAAGGAGACCAGCCCAGGGTGACTAGTTCCACTCTCGTACACAAAAGGATGTCCTCGCTGACGGATAATAGGTGTGCCTTGAACTGGGCTTCTCAGTTATCTGAAGACCTACTGGCCATCATCTTTGATCTTGGGGGACTGCTGAGAGTCTTACTCGCATTGCCAAGGGTTACCGTCAGTCACTTCAAAGGCAGAGGACTCCACTTTTTTATCTGATGTGGATTTCACAGTAATAAATTCACTAAAGTGTACAGTAGTCTGGTTATTCTGTTACTTCTGATTTCCTTATATTTGTTATTAAAACTGCATACTTGTCTTAAGAATGTGCTGTTTTTTCCATTTAAATAAATACCTTATTTGTGTACACTGTTAAATGCCTCTAGTACTTTCCTGACCTCTTTCTGGGTTGCACTTCACAATGTATTGTTTAAAGGTGAGAAACTAAACTATGTATTCAGCAATCATTGAAATACTGTACTTTTTATGGAACAAAAACAACAATAAAGGTGCATGTGAAAACCACATTGTATACAGGAAGAGTTTCTCCCCTTTTCAAATAGGAAAAAAAAGAATTGCAAGTCCTCATACATTTTATTTTTTTAAAGCTTAAACAAAAGATCTAACAAATATATGCTCACAAACGTTTACCACTTATTGTTCTGAATTGATTTTTCTTCAGGTCACAATTTGTTTTCTTTTTCCTGTTTAGTTCCCTATGAAAATAAGCTGTCAGGGTGGCCTGGTGTCGAGCAAGAGAGCTCTTCTCCTAGCAACTATGGATCCAAGCCCTGCCTGGCACATTCCTCTGTCACTCAGGTAAACAGTTGTGCTTCATAGTGATGTTAAAAATAAAAAATACATCTTGAAAGCTTTCCAATATCTTGAAATTTTTTTGGATTACCGTAACAATTCTGCATCCCCCATCTCCCATTCTGAGCTGTGTAACGTGACTTAGCTTTGGTTCTTTGCACCATATGTTTAAAACAGAGCGGGTTTAGGAAATGCCATTTTAAGGTATGAATTCAAAGCATTTTGCCTGTCTGCAATTATTTGTGTTTACCTACATGGTTGGAATGTAGCATTAAAATTTAGACTTTTTCATACATGCCTGTGATGTACCAGTCTGTTGTCAGTTTTGCTTTAGACAGGAAAGATGAAACATTTCAACTTTACTTTTTGAGGCATGTACAGCACCTGTCCATTTCTGATCTGCCACTTTTCCGCAATAGAAATTATGGGCAGCATGGTAAAATTCTAGAATATTAGAATGACAATTAGTACCTAAAGCTTCAGCACATGCATTTATTAAAGGAAGGTTTCTATAGATTCTTTAGAACTTTATGTTTCAAAAGATTTCTTGAAAGGTCATCACGTGAAACACATTGTGATGTCCTTTTGACAAAGCTTAGTAGGGCAAACAGATATTTTTTATGTCTGATGCTTCTCTGGTTTCCAAAATATTTGTCATATTCAAAATGTAGAGTTCAGAATTGGCATTAGTCAGCCAGGGTTCTCTGAGATGCCAACAAAACACCAACCACTATGACTTCCTCAGCACTTGTGGGGTTTTGGGTGATTTCAGTAAGGGCTGTGCCACTCCTTTAATTGCCACCAACCTTCTGTACATCACTATAGTGAATATAACATGTCAAATACCAAAAACCTGATATGGAATGAACAATCCAGTCTGCCAATTGTTATTCTCCACTTGTGAAGGAGGTACAGGGCTCTCTGCTGTGAGGCAAAATGTTAAGGATCGATTGGAGATTCTAAATTGGGTGTGAATGTCCTAGTAAAACATGTTGGCAAACTCTGTAAAGGCACCTTCTGAAGTATAGGTTAAGCTCTATGACCCCGGCATCGGGTTCAAGCTTGAGTCATGTCTCTAGCTCACTCAAATGGCAGCACACACCTGGCTGAGTGACTCAGGTACCTTTATTGCCATTTGCACGAACAGTGCACTGGAAATCTTACACGGTTTCTCTCAGTCAGAAAACATAAAAACAAAAAGGTAAACACACAGACTTTGAGCAGGACACTATATACACAAACTGTAAAAAGACTATACACAACCTGGACACACTATTATGCAAAACAAAATCACATAAGAAGAATGGCTCCTAAGTTATACATTATAAAAGACATTGTGCCTACGGAGCTCCTATATGTTATAGCGGTCTGCATGTCCTTGGCAATCAGGCGCACTGTTCTTGGGAAGAAACTGTTCATACACCTGTTCCTTCGGGTCTTAAAGCTCTCTGGCCTACGACACCGAAGGTTATATTAAGTGTCTTGCCAGGTAAACGGACTCTGGCTAGGGTGGAATGGGTCTTTGATGATAGCGTGAGCCTTGCTCCTACAGCGGGCTGTATCGAGATTCTCCAACGAGGGAAGTCCTGTTCCAATAATGCAGACTCCTGGGTGGGCGGGGAGTGGTCAGGCAGGTTTCTCTTGGCTTTCGTCAAACACAGCGCCCCTGTAGCGCCCCTGGGAGTGCAGTCAGTAAGAGGTGCCTCTCCTCCTCTATGGTCCTCTATGGGGCGGTGGTGCCTCCACGGTTCATAACTATGATCTGAGATCCAAAAAATACTCAACGTGCATTTCCAAAATCATGTGGTAGGACCAACAAAGAAAAAATGATGACTTTCAATTTCAAATAAACTAATTTGTAATTTTAGATCTTTATATGCAAAGCATCTTGGTATCTTCAAATGTATGCTTTTGGCTCAGGATTTTTTGGGCATGATTGCACTGCACAGTTAAAGGCTAATACGCACATCACTTAGGTATCTAGATGGATACACTTGTCATTGAGGATGATGATGAGCCGCTTTTTCATTACACATTAAGCGTGCCATCTACTTGTGATAATTACAGATGTTTTCCAGTTCAATAGCCACTTATCCCCTTAACGACTCTACACATTGTTCAAATACTATCCAGCCTTACCTTTATTCCATGATTAATATTTTATTATGATGGCACAATGGTGCTGAACCACATGGCTGTCGCTCAATAGTTGCCTGGATTGTGAACAGACATGTACCATTGTAATGCATGGTGGCACTCCTGAAGATGCTAATTACCTTTAAGAGTATAATAACTTGTCAGGATTAAAAACATGCTTACCTTTATTCTGCTTTATAGGTACCAGTGCATGTGTTCTGCAAAATCTTATGCTCTTTGAGTTGTTTTCTCTGTGTTTGATTTAACCTTCTGAAAATAATGTAGTAAATATTTATTTTTGCCTGTCGATAAAATCTAAAAGAATATCAGTTTTCTTAGAGTGTCGGAGAAGTCCAATTTAAAATAAATGTCACTTTCAGTCAAGTAAGAATACTGGTCCATCTCTTAAAGTACTGTTTTAAAACTATATGAAACTCACTGAAAGGGATTATCCGTAACATAGACACACAGCATAGACACATGCATTTTGATCTTTATCTGTTGTTTGAGATTTCCCCCAGCACATACTGTTCTGGCCTCAGTACATGTTTCTATTCCTTTCCCAGGACACATTCGCTGTAAATCTGCTAAATAATTTTTTTTTTTCTCTTCTGAGCCCATATGCCTTTTGAGTAAGAAGTTGTTTTTGGTTGAATTTTCATGCACAAATAAAATTCTTCTGCAGTTCTTAGAATAAGAATACTGACATTTCCCTCTAGACCTGCCTGTGATTTTATTTATAATCAGCGCTATTTTCTGTGACAGGATGCTGTTTACACGGTGATCATTCCATTTACAAAAGTATCAGACCATCATCTCTTGCTCAGGCTGTATACATTTCTTTAGATTTTTTTTATTTCAGATTTCAGTGTTATTCGATTGTCTTTGCTTTCTACACTGCTCCTTGGCTCCTCTTTTCATTGACTTTAAACACCCATATACTTAAAGGTGATGAACTCAACCTTTCCTCTCCATGTGAACATGGAATCAGTTTTAGGGAATAATTAACAACTGAGATTTTATCAAGATTTCATCTCTCCATTTTAAGGACACTTTTTATGATGTAATTCATTTTGAAAGTAGGTATGAATTAATGGTAAGCAATATTTAATCCACCATTAGTTTGCTTATTTGCTGGACCAGACAGGGTTTGAAACTCCATCAGTGAGTGCAGTTTGCATTGATAAGACATGCCACTGCAGTGATGGGCCCCTGCCTGCTTCTGCAGACCCAGTCTGTGGAGAGGATCCCAGAGCAGCAGAGCGCAGTAGATTACCCTGATGACCCCTGGAGGATAACAGAGGAACAGCGGGAATACTACACAAACCAGTTCAGAACTCTGCAGCCAGACCTTGGGGCACTCATCTTGGGTAATGCCTTCTGTTATATGAGTTATATGTAAAAACAAAATCAGATCAAAGGATCATCTTGCAACTCCCTTTAGACTGCAGCATTTCAGGGTATGGAAGGGGAGTTAAAAAAGCTGAAGGTTAAAGAACAAAGGAAAGTAAAAGATGTTTCTTGTTTGCCACTTCACCGACTCAAAAGGTTTTGGGATAACGGACACAGGACCTCCTGAAACAAATTAGCAAGTCATTTACCTTCTTAAAGAGAACGCTTGTGATCTCCTAAATGTCAGGATTGCATTTTAGAAAGTCAGGTTTATATTCAACAGGATAAATTGCGCTGAAGGGCAGCACCAAAGTTTTGGGAATAGAAATCAGATGCAGAGAATATAATGACTGTAGATAAAGCTTCTCATGTGTCTGCTAATTAGCTGCAGTAGATACATGAAGTCACTAGTATTCCTGTTAAAGTTGTTTTAAGTTACAAACAGGGAGTGCTTCTTTTCAGAACATATGGTAGGACGTGCTACTGCATTCATGTTCTTTTGGTCTCCTGATGTCATGCATTTATCAAGGTTTGTTTAATACACGTGGTCCTTTGTTATCCTGATTCAATGTACTGCATTCCGTGACTTTGTACCATTTACGCTTTAAAGCCATCTCTTTATAATCAATTGGCATGTGCAAACGAGAGAATAGAAATATATACTGTACCTGAAATGACCTTGGGCCAGTAATGCCTTAGTGTCTGAGATGAAGATGGATTTGTGAGTTTAAGTGAAACTGTCATCGCTGCAATCTGTTCTGTTTTATTGCTTAGTTGTGAAGAGCCTGATGCAGTGTATTATCCTTTCCTTGCCATAGTCAATGGAAAAGCAGTCCTGTTTTTCAGAGATGGTGAAATATGTGAACTCAGTATCAGTTATCTTTATAACCAGCAGGTGGTGCTCTGTACACTATACTATATATAGCCTTTCACACAACATGGAGATTATCTGAATATTTACCTAACCTTATGGTACATTTGCTGTAATTAATTGACAAATGGAAAAAAGGGACATCAGTCGTCAGTTTATCTTTAAAGCCTCCTCACTAATTTCTGTGTGTTGAGTTGTGGAGATAAATGCAATTTTCCTAGACCCTGAAAAAGTTTAATTCAATAAACAGGCATCTCTTCTCATGCTATTTTTATTGTCAACACAAGCATATACATCTCAGAATGAATTATCAACTGCCTTTCTTCTGCTTTAGGGTCTGTGGCAAAGAATTTCTTTACAAAATCGAAACTTCCGATACCAGAGCTCTCCCATATATGGTAAGTGAATAGAAGAAATAAAAAGTGCTGAATCATACTTGAAGAATATATATATATAGGCTTGTTTTATTACAGTTTTAATAAAATCTTAAATGAAATAAAGATGGAGGGTAAAACATTAAATTGGGGGAAGATGGGTGTATTCTTAATTAGAACTATTTTGTTCCCTAAAACATAAAGCAAAGGTCCTTCGCAGGAAGCTAACGTTTCTTAAAAAACTCTGTGTTATGTAATGGTCCAATATGGTTTGAAATGGAATTTTTAAGTAAACAAATACATTTGTACATCACAATTTGATGCCCGTTGATTTCCTTCTTATTTGAAGCCTGAAAAAAGGTTTTCGCTATTAAATGCAGTTCATTCTACATGGAATTCATCCTGAACAGAAATGTTGTCCTTTGATTACCTAATGTGATCTGCAGCTTGTGAAATCAGAAGTCAGGTTATTGAATCAGAAAGTGGAACTGGCCCAAACTGTTTGGACTATTGATTATGGGCAGGACTGAAATATTTTCTTAGTGCACAGCATTTGAGCTGAGGTTGTTCTTCCAGTAGCAGTAAGGGAAAGTTATCAATGCTAATAAAATACATCACATCAACATGAATAATAATTAACAAACTACCATTTCTACAAAAGATGACTATGGGTATGTTCTTCCCAAACCCAAAACCCAAAAGAAATCATTTCCTGCATTAACAGATTTGTTTGAGATGGCAGTAAAATTTATTACTGCAAGAAACCCCAGGTTCCACTATAGATGATAAAAGTAGAATCTCATAATAGGGCAAATAAAGCATTTTATTTGACCAAACAAATCTCTACTCTCTACCATACTAGAATTTTAAGGTTCACCGTTTCTGCTAATTTTAATGCTTTCTCAAAAGATTGAATTGTAAGAGTTGAACATGAAATGTCATTCATAACTTTCAAAGGAGGATATTTCAGTGCAGAAAACAGTTTCAACCATTATCCTTAGCCACTTCTTCTGTGATGGGTTGTTGAAAGGACACACGTACAGTACATCATAAGGAACACTCATACATGCATACACACACTGACATGTTAGTCAGCTTGTCTTTGAAAGCCAGAGAAAACAGATGCAAATACAAAGAGAACATGCAAAATGTACAAATTAGGCAACCCAGGCTCAATTTTAACCCAGTACTCATGAGCTCTGAAGCAGCAACTCTATAAACACCTTGCAAGTGTGGTGCCCAAAAGAGATTAATTTCTTTTTCAATAAATTTTGAAAAAAGATTAGCATGGGGCATGTATACCTCTGGTTTGATTTTACATGTGGATTCACAGTCCCTAATTATCATTATTACTGGGCTACCTATTAAAAATGTAGATAAACAAGGCCAAGATTACTGCAATTAATTGGGTCTTCAAAGCTACCTCAAATTGGTGATTTTGCTGGCCTTGATTAAAAATAATCCCAGACTTGCTTACCTTAATTAACATTAGGCGGTTCAGAATTAGGGATAATTGAGACTGTAAAACCACTGGTTAAATGCTGATCTGCATCTGTACTAAAAAATAACATTTCTCAGTAGAAAGAGCTTGAAGCAAATGACCTTGTGTTTGTGGCAGGGAGCTGAGTGATGTTGACTCTGATGGAGCATTGACCTTCCCAGAGTTCTGTGCTGCCTTTCACCTCATCGTGGCTCGGAAAAATGGGTACCCTCTACCAGAAACCCTGCCCCAGACACTGCTACCAAGCTTTTTACAGAAGGATGCAGGTATTCTGTCTTATTATATTATTAATCTCTCAATATGTAAAGAGTAAAAGAGTTCTACATGTACAGTATATGTGCACAAAAACGTATTTACAGGAACAGACCCCTACAGCAAGCCTCTCCAGTTGGAAATGAAAGTACCAAATGTATTATACTTTACAGATTAAAATGTCTTTTTCACCATCATTAAGTAAATGCATATTGACCCGGCATTCAAAATGTAGATTTTTTGTGTATCATTAAGCAGAAAAAGTGCTGATTCTAATTTTTACTTTCTATGTTTAATTTCTTTTAACACTATGCAATCAGCACATTTGTTTTTATCCAGTACCTGCTAAACCTGGAAGTGATGATGCATTCTTTGGGACATATTCGGAGTCTGTGCCTTTAACTCAACAGCAAAAAGATCCAGCCCCCACTGAGGTGAGAGTACTGTTCTCTTTGGGATTTTCTCATGTAAATTTGAGAAGGTGACCTATTACATAACTTATTCTAATATGTCCATGAATTAATCCTCATTGTTAATCAGCTGCAGTGTGGCTGGAGTATATTACAACAATTGGATAAGTGAGCAGGAGTTTACAGTCTGACTGAAATTAAATGAAGATGATACCAGAGCATTTGCTACCACACAGAAAATTGTTTACACTTTTATAGCGCTTTTCTGGACACTCCACTCAAAACACTTTACAGGTAATGGGGACTCCCCTCCACCACCACCAATGTGCAGCATCCACCTGGATGATGCGACGGCAGCCATAGTGCGCCAGAACGCTCACAACACATCAGCTATCAGTGGGGAGAAGAGCAGAGTAATAACGCCAATTCATAGATGGGGATTAGAGGAGGCCATGATTGGTAAAGGCCAATGGGGAATTTTGGCTAGGACGCTGGGGTTACTGAGGTAGTTCTCAGTCTTTTGAGAAATTGGGGCGGCAGCTGTTCAGAATGGAACATTACATCACCAGAAAGACATGTTATGGCACAGCTTCCCTGAGAGAATACCAGTCCATTTTAGCTTTCTAATTGCATCAAGCACATGTAGTTTTATTTTACTATAACAGTATGCATAACACACTTTACACTTGGGAATTTCATTCATTTATGGGTCTTTGGTATGTCATATTTTTTCAGATGTCCTGTCATTTTTTGGTCATTTCCATATCCCGCAGTGTGATATACTGCCTTATTCAATAAACCTATTGGTTTACAGGTGCTGCGTGAATACTCCACGCACAACCTGTTGCTCCCATTGGGCAGATGTGAACTGTGACATTAGGTCACTAAAGCAATTCCCAGCAGACTGGGGTTTCAGTGTCGTGATGGTGACTGCTTTGACTGTTTATCTAATAGGTTGTAGGACTTGTTATAATGCTTACCTCAACCAAATTATACTTGATCTGCCACATAGCTGGAACTATATAGAAGGCCTGATGTCAGCATATTCCCTTTTGACACCAGTAGCACTAGCATGTATGGTGATAAATCATGTGGTGAATGCATACAGTATAGAGTTTCTGTTGGCTGTTCTACGTTGTTCCTTTCTCCCGTGGACTAGTCTCCTATTCAGGTTAGTCATGTGCTCTTGGTACAGTATGGGCTGTCCAGAATTAGTTTTTACTTAACTGATTAGATCAGCTATGCGTTTCTTGAAGTGTATTCTTCACAAGCTTCCACGTCCACAAATGCATGTACATTTGTAGATTTCATGCAGCTGCACTAATGCTGATGAGACAAGTGCAAAACAAGCCAATCTACATGGAAAGCTTCAGTTTATTCACTTATGTTTCTAATTTTACTTCATAAGCGGCAGTATTGTATCCGCAGTATATGATCAGTATTTACTCCCTACTGTACACAGAGAGATGTTGGTAGATAATGGTAGGTTAAAGTTTATGCTGAATGCTTAGTAGGACATCACCACAGGATGAGGAAAGAGCAGTTTGAATGTTTTTGGACATTTTTGTATCTGTTAATCTTTACAGTTTGGGCCAGTCATGAACCAAGCTGTAATATCATTTGAGATTTTATTATGTAAATGTTGTTTGCCCTTTAAGATACTAAAATAAATACAAATTCAGAAAAAAGCAGGTGAAATGTTTAACTTTGCATGAAGGCATTATATGAAAAATCTGAATATTTCGCTGTTCGCTTTATTTTCTTCTTTAAGTAAATTGCAAAACATTTCGAATATTTTTATTAATCATTGATTAATGATTAATTCATCTGTATTTTGTGTGGGTGTGTTTATGGATTAAAAGGGGACAGAGCCACTTATTGTCTTTGAGGAAGCAGAGCTTGCCCCTACCTCGCATGTAAGTTGAGCTTTTTTTTTACTTAAGCACTACTCACCTTTGCTTATAATAATAAACGTTTCTTCAAATGACTTTAGTTTTAGAACCGTTTCCTGAAACAAAAGTTAAGAAGACAGGGCAAGGTATTTATTTTTCTAATGGTCAACATCATCCTTAGTACATAACATTTTATTGTGAGTATAATGATTTTTTTTACTGATGACATCCCTTTAACTATTCATACAGAACAAAAGCTTCTTTCCATATCAGTCACTGTTTTGGAAAGTTTTATACCAATATACATAACAGGTGCCACACTCTGGCATAATAGTTTTATTAAATATTTTTTAAAATAGACTTTAAACAAAATGGGTGGCACTATGGCCCAGTGGTTATCGTTTCTGCTTTGTAGAGTTTGGGACCTGGATTCAGTTCCTAGGGTGCTATCTGTGTGCGAGTCTACTGTATGTGTTCTCCTCGTGTTTACAGTATGTGGGTTTTCTCTGGGTACTTTGATTTCCTCCCACTGTCCAAAGACACACTGGTAGGTTATTTAGCTTCTGGGAAAACTGGAACTGGTGTGAGTGTGTGTGACTGACATCCCATCCAGGGTGTATCCTGCCTTGCACCTGTCACTTGCCTGGAAAGGCTCTGGCTGCCCTGCAGCCCTGTATTAGATAAAGCAGTTAGAAAAAGAATGGATGGGTGGATATTAAGCAAATTCCTAGCAAATGTGCACCATGTAGATTACAGAATTGTGTTATGCTTCCAGTATGATCCGTGACATACTATTAAAATGAAAACTGGACAGCACTCCACATTTCTTTTGCAGTTCCAGTCAGATGGTGAAAGTTGGCTGCTCACAGTTGGTTTAAAACAGCTGCCAAGATACTGTACCATTTAACACCATCTCTCCACGTGCGTTTTCTTTTGTCAGCTTATGTCAAAAAGAAAATGTCATTCATAACTGAATAAATCACTCTACCGCTCTCTCAGATGTCCCCTGCCCCTAAGATGGCAGCAATTTCTTCTCTCAGCTGTCAAAGAGTTCCCCCATATGGCCCCTGAGCATGAAGATCAAATGTATGCAGACGTGGAGCTACAATTATAATTCTGATGCATGGTTTAATTTTTCCCAGAGTTGCTTGTGCTGTAGCCACTGCAGTCTGAAAATGATTAGATCATCCTGAGCCTGGAGCTGTGACCTCTGCCTTACAGGATGTGGCCTGTCCCTCACAGAGCCAGATTCTGGGTTTCTTGTAGTAGCCTGCCAAGTGCTGAAGCAGAACATTTCATTCTCCGGGCAATGTCCCTCCCAGACAGGCTGCCTCCAATCATGCCAATGATAACCTGGCCATTCCCATTACTCAAGCAAGACATGGTTATATCTTTCACTTCTCTTGCACTAATTAAAATCATGTCTTTTGGATGTCTTATTTCTGCAGATTTCTAATCATCCCAATTGTAAATCAAATCAAATGCCAAACACTGAGCACCTGGTGTTTTTATGAAATCATATGACATGATTTTTTTTTATCGTTCACAGGGAACAAACAATCAGTAAATCCAACTGCCATACAGTAATTAAAATGGCAGTGGCATCATGTACGGTACAGATTGTGCCCAATGAACAATTGATGTGTACTGTTGCATTTTCTGTACATATCCATAAAAGTTCTGGGTTATTTTTGCTTTCTGTTGCAGGAGGAGAACAAAGTTGAGTTAATGCAGACTTCTTTATCTGAGAAAGCCACTTCAAAGCAAGATCTACGAGATGAAAGCTCCAAGTCAGGTAGTAGTGGTAATGCTTTTTATGTGACTCATTACCTTTCTGTTTTACCTTTGTTCCAGGTGTATTTAACTCCAGGTTTACACAGATTCCTGACTCTTGAGATCAGTGCCTTTTATAATTACCTTTAGAAGTGAGGTTGTTCTTTTCAAATAAAGTAAAGCTCTACAGGTCTGCAGCTTACAGAGAAAAGATAACCAACGTCAGCCATATTAAGACCTCATGGTCCCTTAAGTTTTGATTTTAGCTATTTTCTTAATATTTTAAGTTGGTTAATTCGATCTGGTTAAGGCTGCTGGACCTCAGCCCTTGAGGACTAATGCTGACTAGCCCTCAGAGGGGATGTAGAGAAGCTTCCTTCATGGCCTCAGAAGTCAGTAGAATTAATAATTTATTTCTTAACGGTGTTCAAAAGCTGGAAATGTTATTCTTTAATGAATAAGCAAATTTTTTAATTAAAAGCAAGGAATTTTGAGATTCTCAGGGGCAGAGATTTGAAAGATTATTCACTTTAAAAGACATTAAAATGGAATTTTTGCATAGCAACCGATTGAGGTTAATACCATGCTGAAAGAAAAATTAATTGCAATCTTTCAGCTGTGGAGCTTTCTTCAGGCTGTGAAGGTCTGCTTTGGCTTCCACAGTGTAAATAGTTGTTTTTTTTTGCTTTTTAGTGTGGAATTAAATAATTCTGGGTTTTTTGCAGCTCATTCACAGATATACAATAGATCTATGTTTTGACTTTTTTTTAATATGGTAGTTTAAGTTCTAAGACTATTTTCAACACACTCACCAAAGGTTGGTTTAGATAAACTAATTCTACTTTAATATAACTGTGCAGCAGGGTTCATCCAAATAAGGGGGTGGTCGTGTTTTGCATCAGTGTTATGATTTCTCATGGAATGGCATTTATCTGGAATAGAGTGTTTGACAATGTTAATGAATCTTTCATTTATTTTACTTACTGTGATTAGATAATACAGCAATTACGCTCATTACATTACTAATTGCATATACTGTAGGCTCATTTTATTATGGTGCATATTTTACAGTAAACCATGCACAAAGAGGCAATTCTGTTGTTGCATAAGTCTGAAACACATGTAAAATTCATTTGAATTTTGGCATTAATATAGAGATATGCTACAATTTTTTTGCTTCAACTTATCTGGCATGAAACAGGTATGTTATTATCCAGGAGCCCATAGAGTACAGGTCATGTCTAGGTAGAGGACAGATGCATCTTTTAGTGACCCCTTGCTCTCATTGGCCTTTGGGTCATTGGTATAATATGTAAACCAAGATTTCCAAAAGCCCATTTGAGTCCATCAGAGTTCCAGGACATAGCCAGCAATTTACAGTACATAGACTGGATGTGCCCTGGATATCACATACAGTAGTATCAGCAAGACTCATAATCGTGTGCTACAGACTGGTTTAAGTAGAAGGAACTAATCAAAATGCTTAAATATGTATCTGTCTTTCATGGTATTTTTCTTTGATAGGGAATAATAGTGTCTTCTTGATTTTCTTGAAGCTCTGAGTCCAAAAAGAATTCCTCTTCCTCAAGAGACACCAACTGAACCTCTGGACAGTGTTCCTGATAAAATAGGTAACACTTAAGCATTGCTTCATTATTTATTAACAATCAGTCATGTTATTTCATTTGTAATCTAAACCAAACTGAGCTCTACAAGTTCAGGGCTTACTTGGACTCATGGCACTGTATAGTGCAGATTTATAGATTTTAACAGCTCATCTCTGGTAGCACAAAAACCTTGTTTTTTCATACCTGGGAAGATACAACACATGCCTTTACATCTTAGTGACGGAGATGGTTTACCTGTGGAAGCAAAAGGTAACATGAGGAGAAGTTAGTCAAAGCAGGCTGATTTCTGGCCTTATTCAGATCTGTTACTGTGACCTACTGCTTGGCAAAATCAGATGTGTTGAGTTAGACAGAAAAAGGTTATAAATAAGTAATCCCCCTGCTTGACTGACATATAATAAACTATATCTTTCAGCTTATCCAAAAGAGACTTGAGATGAGTAATAGATTATCATGGCATCCTGGCAGAACTGCCCTTAGAATCAACATTGGGGCCATTGTCAACTGTCATTGTAGAGAAGACATAACCCCGACTGGTCTCTGAAGCATGGCAAAGCATTAATAATACTGGCAATGAAATCTCTCATCTCTGTTCCAAGCATCTTGACTGGATTTCATGTATACTAGCAGCAGGAGGGAAACGTTTCTGCATGGGAAGTACTATTGCTGTGAAAGTTATTTAGATACATGCCTAAGGGCATACCGTGTTTTTATTGGCACCATTCATCTTCTTTTTAAGCTCAGGTCCTTACATCAGTTGCATTGTAACTGATACTGTAAGGTATTTTAAAGACTATCTCTCATATCCTCTGTATACCCCAAAATATTGGCCAGATGTTTTTGTGTGTGCGAGAGAGAATAAGATTATAGAAAGTTACTTCTCATATAACGTTCCTGGAGTCCTCATTCAACTGGCCCTAGCCTTTCACATAATAGTGTTTGAATGTGATGATTTAAGTTTGGAATGGTGTTTTCCTGGGTTGCTTTCATGTGATTCCAAAGGACTTATCTTTTACCTCCATGTAACAGAGGTTAACATCGCTGGGGGCTTGTTTATGTCCTTAAGAAAAAAGAGATACCAATTTAAGATTTTATCATGGTAATTCTTTCAGATGAAAGTTCTTATGGTTTCATTAATTTTCTTACTTATTGTTAGTGTTAAAGATATTGCTCCTCTGGAATCAGTCCAGAGAAATCAACTTTTCTTTAGGGAATGCCCTACACCATCAGGCTAAAGGAACTGAACCTTTTCAAGTCCTAAACAGAGAAGATTCGAGGAGACTTGATATCATTCTTCACAATCCTCCAAGGCACTGACAGAGTCGGCCTCGAGGACTTCTTTAAAATGAAACGCAAAGCAGAGGGCACAAGTGGAAGCAATGTGGAGGTGTAGTGAAAAATGAGAACACAAGGCATTTTTTTACACAAAGGGTTGTTGAAGTACAGAACAAACTACCCAGCCATGTTGTTCAAGCAGGTAATCTGGCTTCTCTCAAGAGACAGCAAGATGAGGTTGTTGAAACAACTATCTACTACATACCAAATGGCCTTGATGGCTACATGATAGGCCTAAGCGCCTGCTCTCATTTTTAACTTTGTGTTGTTTTGTTTTATCAGCAAGCCCTTCTGAACCAGCCTGAGAATCTGCTTGTACCAACAGAGTAAATGTTATGATACAGTTAATGGTTAATTAAGATTAATAAGGGGAATTTCTACAGAGAACTAATGTATCCTTTAACCTAGAAGCACATGATGAAACTGTAGTACTCAAGAACATGAAGTGTGGGGCAAAACGTTTTGGCATGACATTCATCCATTCATTTTTACTCTCTGCCTCGTGTGATTATTTAAAAACTCAGTAACAAGAAAGGAAGGTGGGTATCGCAGCCTATATAAAAAGGCAACCCTCGACAGGTCCAAAACTGAAATGAAAAATGAGTACTTCCACGCGACTGGAAAAATTAGTTAGACAAAATGAAGTGCTGCATAATAATTGCAAGAGATTAAGAAATTAAAATATGGTTTTCCATGCATTCAGCTTGAATTTGAGTCATTTGATTTTAATTATAGAGCGCTTAACTGCACTACATACCTCGCTTTGTATGAAACCCCTGAAAGGCGAACTGAAGTGCGCCTGCAGATATTTTGTTTCAGGTCCCCATTTGGTGTAGCATTTCCCCATCTCTCTGTAAATATTGAGAGAATAAACCAAACATTGTGAGTTGTTTAAAAAAAGGGAGCTTAAAATGTTTGTGTGCCACAAAAGCAGTTTGTGATGCTATAACTATGTATAAGAATGGGGGTCAAGATTGCATTTACATCAGAACCACAAGAAAATCTGTTATATAAGACATCTTTTTACTTTTTAATTCCTTGAATGTTAAACTTTTACCATCCTAGGTTATGCATATTGTTGTACATCAGTAGAGCTAGGATACTGACTGTGACAAATGTTATGTTTTGTGATCCATATTAATAGCTGTAGTGTTTTTCTCAAATAAAAGTTGGAAAATGAAAGGTGTGCATTATGAAATATTGGTGGTCAGACCCTTCTGAAATGAAAGATATATGTTTTTATTTAATGTAAAGAGAGCCGAGATATTGTTGGAATTTTGTAATTGTATCAATTACCATAATGCTATAACTTTTGTGTTACAGGTCTTCCTCAAGTTCGAGGTCATCAAATAAAATCAAGAACGAGACCAAGGTAACCCTTTAGAAGAAGAAATCTTTCTCAGTTTAAAGAAATATGTCACCTATGGACATACTCCATCATGTGTGTTCTGAGAGAAGGGTTTAAATGAAAAAATGGACAATACTATAAGGTTCATTCAAAAGGTAGATAACAGAAAATGTCCTTTTATGCGAGTGTCTGTTCTATATTTTTTCCCAAAATTACTTTCAGAAATTAATTCTACAGAAGCACAACAGGGGACTATAACATTTAAAGTTAGACATGCTTAACAGGCGGGTTTGCACTGATTGGAGGAATAGTGCATCTCTCACTGTTGTCACTGCAAGACTGCACGCACTCAGCAATTTTGCAGGAGTCATTGTTTCACTGAAATCTAGGAGAGCCCTTGTCAACTAAGACAGACCCTGCCCAGCTCTGCCAAGTGGGCATGTCAGCTACTAATGCAACCCAATCTTCAAATAAAGAAGACAAGGCAATAGGGCTTGAGCTTTTGGACCCGGACATGTAGTTTAGTGTGTAAAGTTCAGGGTGTATATCTTTAGCTAAGAAAAATGTTTCTAGTCAAAGCCTGAAGCTGGGTTTATGTGAACGAGAGTTGCTTCCTCTTGCTGTTCCCTTTTAGGTCGTATTCCAGCACGTCTATTGATGATGCCATGAAGAAGACAGAGGAACCCCCAACTCCTCCTCCCAGGCCGCAGAAGTCTCACTCCAGAGCCTCCTCCCTTGACCTCAACAAGCTCTTTCAGCAGAGCAGCCAAGGTACCTGTGCCCTCCATCATCTGTGCCGCATCACGACACGGCAGCTGGTTTGAGAAGAAAGCAAAGCTGATGACTTGAATTCAACACGTAAAACAGAAGTGGGCTCTTCTTAGAAAATTTACTTCAAAAGGTACCTGGTGCCAGATAAAACCAGATTAAAGCTGTGCTGAAAGGAAAAGACAAGAGACACAATGTGAAGAAGAGGAAGGCTGAGGAAAGCTCCTCAGCCGAAATGTTGTGTCTCTTTTCTTTTCCTTTCAGTGTGGAATGAACCTTTACCTGTTAAACTGCACACTGACATTGCTCCCTACTTGAACATGAAATCTGTTGCGTAAATCTACAGTGACAAAATAAAATACAAAACAAGGTGTTAACACGTTTAATAATAGTATCTAATGTATTAACCGAACACTGGAGTGTTATAGTTCCGTGAATAAGGCTGGGAATCCAGTGTCCTGGAGGTAGTGCAGTGATGTTGAATGTTTTAAACGCCTCAGAAACCCCTTTCTAAACCTTTCAGGCTACAAGAGTGGATGGCTGCCCCCTCCTCCAGCTGTCCCACCCAGGCCCCTGCCTGCACAGGTAAGAGCTGCCCCTTGACCTGCAGGGTGCCGGAGTGTCATCCCAATAGCTCACTTTTTGCTTAATATTGAGCTTCTGTTAATTGCAATTCCATTAAAAAATAACCGTTTCAGTGTCCAGACGGTCCTTCCGAAACTTTACTGTTTCTGTTAGCATAGGGTTAGTTTGTTGACAAAATGATGGGAGCCCGTGAATTGTTTTTAATCTGTCTTGTAAACGCAGCCTGGCTTTCTGTTTTGAATTGTGTTTCAGATGCCCCTTTTCATTGCCAGTACTGAGAAAACCCAACCCCACAATCCAGTGCAGCAGCCCAACTTTGCTGACTTCAGCAAGTTCACAGAGGAGGTAAACACTAGATGGCAGTGGTAGTGTTATTTTTATCTATTAAATACTTGATTAGTTTGTTTCAGTCAGGTAATTACCTCGCCTACACTTTGTGTGAGATGGAAGAAGGCTTGTTCTTGTCAATGCAGCTACTGTAGGTTTTCATTCTCATCTTGTGTACATTGGCTGTGAAGCTGGAATGGCCTGGTGGTTCTTCAGATAGCGTCCTTATTCTGTGTGTTGCAACTGCTGTCATTCCTTCCCTGTCTGCCTTCAGCCCCGTACTTTCCTTGCACTCCAATGGAACAATAGTCTATACAGACATTCAGATTTGCTAATATTAGGCACAACAACCTACCTGAAAAAAGGAGACAGTAAATTGAAATCTCCAACATATATTCTTAATGAAGATAGTTTTATATTAGTCATTCCTGTGGCAACCCTTCATCTCCATGGATACTCCATTCCGTGTCTAGAAGCATTACTTCTGCTTACATGTGAGTCTATTTTTATCGCTGAAGACAAATAAAATTACCAGTCTGTCACAATGACGTGATTTCATTTTGAAAATGGTCTTTTTTACCCACTTCACTTTGTGATGTTTATTTAGACCAATTATTAACTTAAATGACTTCACCACTATTTCTGACCTTTGAAACAAAATGCATTTGTGTGTATTTATGTGTGTGTATTGTCCTGAAACATTTCTCTGAATTTTGCTCTATTTCTGTATGGTATATTAGATAAGGCTTGAGTAATTGTTCAATTCCCATATTTCCTGCCAAGCTACAGGTCTTGACTTGAGTTCCACAGAGAGCTCCAAACTGCAGATGTCCTTCCTATGAGACTGGAAAGGAAAAGTTAATGCAGTAATCTTGACTGAACTGGTGGCTGATGATGCCAGGGTCCAGAAAGAGAACACCTGAGCATAACTTTGATGCCATTCGAGTTGTTCAAGTTCATCAAGTGAAAAGATGGCTTGCAATAAGAATAAAGATGTTGGAATAATGACTAGATAATCCTCAGTCCTGCATCGTCACTTCTGATTCTCAGAATTATGGAAAAATATGTATTTTTCAAATAGTAAAAAAAATAACATTTTTCCATACTTTAATGCAGCAAATTGTTATGTCAAAGAAGGAAATGACAGTAAAATTGTATACATTTTAACCAGGGTTACATTGAGTGTGGTCTTTCATAGCAGCTTTAGATGTACAATAATTAACGTGTGGAAAATTATACTAAACATGTCTCTATCTAGGAACATTTTATTCTGTTTCAATATGTGAAAACGGCCACTTTATCTGATAGTGCTCACTTTCCAAAGTGTGACTGTATTACAACCAATAATTAGGCATTGGGTTAGCTATCTTATATTGGGCTTTTGACACTGCAGGCAGATTTGGACAAAAGCAGGGAAAATAGTAAATCTATTCAACACAGAAATTAATTACCTGGGTAGGTAAAAGGTAAATGTCCAAACAAAGGGCCATAAATTGGATTCTTCTGGGGTTTTAGTTAGGTGGATAGATTAAAGCAGTTTATATATATATATCAAATGTGCTATATTTAGAATGCATTTCAAATACTTCTGAGCTGATTCATGTGCCTTTTCAAACTGCTTTCACCTTTCTTTCAAAGACTGGTGCCTGGCTTTCTTTGACAGCATTGTCCCACTTTGTGTTGGTTGAGATCAACGTTGGTTACCGTTGGGCAGATAATGTTCCTTCCTTCCACCCTTCTGTTTTCGTTCTTCTGGAGTTTTCTTTTCCAGTGATGCTCTTCCTCCGTGCCTGCAGCGCTGCTGCTTCATTCCCGTCTTGTCGTTTCCTAACCTGTCGGTGCAATGCACCCTCTCCCAGAACATAACAAATGCATCTGGAGTTGTTTTTGCTGCCTTTGGGCATTTTTTAAAAATACAAAAAAAATTAATTTAAAATTTATGTCCTGGAGATTCTAAGTGTTTATGAAAACGGCGCTGTGTCTGGTTATGTTTGGGCATTGTTCAAACAAAATATTCCAAATGACTTGTCTTATGACTCCAGTGCCAAGGAGTAATAAAGACAGCATCTAAGTAATCAGTTATGACAGCGAATAGACAGAGCAAGTTTGCGCTGTTCTGTGTTCTGTGTTTTTCATCTCGTAGCATAATCCATCATGTACAGTAATTTTATTGCCTTCACCCAGTCTCCTGCATTGGTTTTCCTTCCTCTAGTTTACTCTTTGCTCAGGCTTTGTCAATGAGATGAGAGGTCAATGAGAGAGCAGATTTGCACAGAGTTCAGCTGGATGCCTTCCTTTCTATTCTTGACCTCTTGCATCTGAGGTTTTCCTTTTTGCAATGTGTTTCATCGCAGTGCTCACATCCAGACCCATATATCTGTTTAATTTGGCATCCTCCTCACTTCCTAATCTGTCAGTAACATTGCACACATTACTGTAATGTGCTGAATTCCTCGCATTCAGTCTCGTATTGAGTTTCTGTTAGCACAGGCTGGGATGGGAAAAAAACACTCTTTATGTTTCCGAATTTCTAATCCTGAGAGCAAACAATAGTTATACATGAACTTTATTCAAACAAATAATTATTTACGGTAGGATGTGTGTTAATATTGGTTCATTTGTTGGAGCCAGATCCTTAATGCTCTCATTCCACTACAACGTCTCCATTCTATTGTTAAGCATCCCTACTACTGACCAGTCTTTCTGGTGTTGTCTTGAGGAAAAGGCAGTACAACGATCAGTGTGAAATGTGAGCCATATTTAAAAACCTTACTTTACAGGTACTGATATAAAGAGGTTCAAAATAAGGTCACCGTGTTTTAACTTTCCAGTATACCATTGAATTTAATATGGACACGTCACCAAGTCAGGGTACCAATAAATATTCATGTTATAAATAGGCAGCATTCTGATCTTAGTTAAAAAAATACAGAAATGAATATGGAGATGTATGTTGCCCCATGTGCTTTGCTATTTGCATTGTTTCTTCAGATGCGAAGCCATGTCAAAATAGCCATTGTGTTTTTTTATTTAAACAGACCCCTTCTACAGCCACTGATAAAGTGCAAAATATTTTCCTCTCGTGACTAAAGCTGAGACCCTTGCAGAATTAATTTGATATCCTTGTTAAATCAAAGCAGGATGATCTAATCCAGACGTCTAGTTCCAATCAAATGTAGGCTATCCATCCCCCTTAGAACCCGGTAAGAGCTTTTGCTGAGCTGTTCTCTAAGTACTTTGTTTCTGACATCAGAACTTAATCCCTTGTTTGCTGGCCCAGTGTTGTGCTTTGATTCAGGTGATGCCACATTGCTAAGAAGAAAGAACAAAACAGCGTTATTGTACTTCATAATCAATTTTGTATCTCCTTGTTACAGAATGATATGGCCCTTTTGACATATGTATCACGTCATTTAGACTTGTATCACATCTTATTTCTTTGTATGATTTTTTTCGTTAGGTAAATAGCAGATCATCTGGGCAGGGTATATTCTTCTGTTTTGCTGTTGGCTGTTTGCTTGGCTTTACAGGCACATACATGGTTAAGTAAATGTTTCTGATTGGTTCTTTTATTTATTGGATGTCTGTTCAGTCTGCAGCTCTAAACAGATTTATAGCCATTGCAGCTATGAATTCACGTGTCACAGAATTCTCTGGCTTCTTTCTTTTACATAAACTAACTTTTCAAGGTCGGAAGAATTTGACACAAACCTTTGACAAGGTTTGACAGTGACAAGGGAATGCAGACAGTCAGAATTATAGTTCCATATTTTTGACAGTGGTAATGCTTCTGAAATAACAGCTGTTGTTGTTTTATATTTTAAGCTTGGTTTTCATATTTCCATGATACATTTTATTTTGAAATGGTTTTTAGTATTTGCAATGTATGCTGGTTTTTAAACTACATTGACTGTCATTTACTAAAGGTTCTCAGACAAAATGAAATGTCATGAGAAGTGTATTGATTTGTATTGAAGAGTAAGATGCATGTTAAAATCCCTTAAAACATGAATGATGGGCTCATTAGCATGTGATGTATATGTCTGATAATGTATTCAAATAACATGAAAAGATACAACTAGTGGGAGTCCTTTTAAAATCCGAGTGAGAAAGGTGCTAATGTTATATTTCATTACGTAAAAGGTGTTAGTGCACGTTGAAAGGCTATCTGTTACAGTGAGTTTAGTGTATTAAAGTACGTTGACTATAAATATTAATAAATTATTGCTGGATTTTTCTCAGATAATACCAGTTATAAGGAATACAATGAGTTTGAGGCTTGTTGCCAAAGTCATTACATTTAACATGTGCTGCCCTAAGAAAAGTAGCCGTTGTGAGTAATGTAAGGGCAAATAATTTCCTGAAAGTACACAAGCTTGTAGCAACCATGTAAAGTATTTTTAAATACGGTCCAAGCAGCAAAATACATTTTAAAAATGTTTAAGAGATGAAATCATATATCATCTTAGCTACAGTATGTATCCTGGGATATTTGGTATTCTGGTGCAAAATGCCATTGAGTATATAGCTTAGTTTTTTATTTACACAAGCTTTGTGGAAGTGGAAATGGAAGTGGGCATTGCTGAAGGTACTAGAGCCTGAAAACATTGCTGTAGAATGTACAAGGTTTGGAATTTTGGATTTCTGTGATTGCAACACATGACCAAATTTTATACGGCAGTTTGAGAGTCATTAAATTGCATACCAAACACTGAACACAGTAGATGCACTTAAAACAGAAAGCACATTTCATTCAATCAGTTCACCGTTGTCTCAAAGCAGTGTCAGGATCTCACTCGCACAATAAGTGTGCAGTTTGGATGGTGATCCCTTCCAGTTAGGTTCTGTTCCAGGCTTTGACAATGAAAATCCGGAGTGGATAAGTACAGGTACTGGCCATGTAATGTGTTTAAATGAATTTTGGTCTGAAGCTTAAAACATTCCCAACTTAAAATAAAAGGCTAATCTATATTTTATATAGTTGTTTTCAATTCTCTGGGTGCTTTTGCTCTGTATGTGTAGAGATAGAACACACAACCTATATTCTACAGTATATACAATATATAATAGTATCTTGGTTTTCATTTGTAATTACAATTCAAAATGTATAAATATTTCCTTTCCCCTTGGAGGTTGTGTTACAATGTGTAAATATAAGTAAAATAAATTCTAGTCTAATGTGTACTGATTTCAGCTTATTAGGACACAAAACATGTTACTTTGGAAACAGTTGTAGACTTTCTATAGACACTATACATGTTTATGTGTGTAAGCTGTAGCAATTTAAATGATTGAGAATTGGGATGTACTGCAGAGCTGTGATTGTTTAATCAACGGCTTTAGAAGAGGTGATATTCACCTGGGATACAGGTTAGAAAATAAGAAAAACTATAACCCCTAATTATCATTTCTTGTGGCTTGTGTGTACCATCTGCCACAGGACAAATCCCAACTAAGAAAGTGTAGTTTCAACACCTGCATGAATGAAATACTGTGCAGACTTGAGGAAGAAAATGTGAAATGCATATTGTTGTTGCATATGAGGATTTACATCACATTTAGCAGACCAGTATTCCAAACATACCTAAAAATAATGCATTGGAAATTATTTGAATTATTTGGGAATCTGGAAAAAGATTTATAGGTGTGGGACTTGTGGTAGCACTGTATACCTCACAATTTTATTTGTATTTAAAACATAACCAAAGTCAGTACAAAACAATCAGTCTACCAAAGATTTTTTTCTATGTAATTGCCTATATATAAAGAATAACAATTTTTATCCAGAGTTTGCTCAGTTGTATGACACCCTTGTGTATACATCATATATACCATATATATCTTCAAGAATTTTCATACTTTGCTCAAAAAAGAACAGAAAAACATAATCTGTATATTTTTACTGTTATTTATATTTATGGTTCATATTTCATCAGGCATATGAATAAATTTGGAGGATAATGTATCTACATTTGATCTGATTTTATTTGACTAATTTGCACACTTACAAAGCTATGACTAAAAATGTTATCTGGACATGAATTAAGGTAACTGTATGCAACTGTATTTGTTTGAAAAGCCAACTCTTTTCAAAAGCACTGCTTTTTTAGAACTCATAAAAGAGTGGTACATACTCACTTAGGTAAAAATGTCTCAAACCGTTGGGCGTTGACCCCTCAAATTTCTGATTATTCTATTAACCCTTTTTTATAGTGACAGTTTTCATCCAACACTGAGGCAAGCGGTTATAGTTGATTTAACACAAAATGACCTGGATAGGAGGCTGAAACTGTAGTGGCGCAAATCTAGAACAAATGGAGTCCTTTATCCCACATTGCCAGGATAACTGGAAAATGACCAGTTATCCTCTTCAGCCATCTATAATTAGGAATCTTAGCAGTAAGCTACAGGATTGTGACTAGCTTGTTTGGTGTGTCGCCAAATTGTGGCTTTGGGTCATCTCAGGCCATGGTGGGCAGTGTTGTGCTTCTGGACAATGTGTGTTTCTTTGAAAGCTTTCCCAACAAGGCATTTCCTCAACGGGTCTGCTTTTATTTCCCCTTGTTCTCTGGCCTTTTCTCCTGCATTACACTTACCACAGTCTCAGCACTGAGGTCATGCACACCTAGATCACAAAGCACCCTGTGGCAACAGTTTTCTTTTGCCAGATAAGGAATAATTAGTTTTCATTATTATGTGAGAAAATAGTTTAACGCTTGCGCATGGCCCTTGGTGGTTTTATCCCATGACCATTTTTAGAGTCCTAATTAACTACTGCTGGTTCCACCATTTCCTATGTGGTTACAACTGTGTTTATGTCTGGGTTTGAATCAGCTGTGCTGTTACATTGAGCAGCTGATTTTACTCTGGGCACCAGCAGGGCTCGAGAGGGCAATGTTTTTCTGAAAGTCCTAGTCACATTTTTAAGTACACCTGACTATCCTATGGATAGCTGAGAGCTGGGCTGCCAACAAAACACATTACTAAACCAAAACAGCCTTCAACTCATTGCCAATTTTCTTTTTTTTCTGTTCTTTTTATTACTTTTCCACAACCATCCATCATTACAGAGCAACACGTTTAAGAGAACAAAACAAACAACACAAATCACCATGAAAGGAAATAATATACACTATCATGAAGATACAGATGCAAAGAAATCTGATTTTTTCAGATTCCTTCTAGCTCTATACTTACTGTTCAACAATCCTGTCTCCTCTCCAAATCCAGTTATCCTTCCCATGCAGCATATCTCCCCTCCCCCCTTAGTCTGTGGAACCTCTAATTCTTATTTTTTTAAGATCATCCAGAAAATGTGAGTTATCTACCCATTACTCTAGGATCCATGAGCTGCTTAACGGCAGGGTTGTAGCAAGGCTGAGTCTGTGCTGGCAGGGCTTGGACCATAGTCCTGCTCATTCCCTGAAGCTACCAGATCTCCCCTGTTCATAGCAGGGCAACAGAGTGAAAGGATCCGTTTACAGTAGCTCTGAGATCTGATGGGAACAGGGCTAGAAGTTGGTAAAAGCATAGTTTAAAGTTCTTATCCATAAAGAGGTAACGGCTGTGATGATCTCAACCACAGGTTTTTTTTTGAGAGAATTACTGCTTGTTCCAGGCCCCAGAACTCTGATGTGGAGGCAAGCTGAGCAAGGCTGGGTCTGGTCAGTATTAGGACAGATCTCCAAGGAAAACCCTGATGTCTTGTTTAATTTCCACTCGGAGCTTATTTAAACTGGCTTCCTAAACTTCCTAATTCAATAGGTTCCCCCTTAATTCAATAAGTGAGGCAGCTTCTATCTGAACTGCAGTGCACTTGGGCTGCTGATGCATTATGGCTACAGCATATCACCCCGATGGGTCCCCATCTGCAGTATATGTACATAGCTCAGTGGTGAAAATGTGCTATATAAGTCGAAGAATTATTTTATTGAAGGTAAAGGAGCAGTGCAGCTGAAAATGATTTTTGTTTTACAGAGAATCACAAAAAAAGGATCATTCTGTCTTGTAATCTTCCTTCGCTATAAAAGAAATGAATTCTACTTAACAGGCCCTTCAAAGATCTATCTTAATTAGCGCTAAGTGCTCAAGAAAGGTGAGGAACAGCTGCTGTGGTTTGAGCTGGGCAGGACGCCAGGGAGTGCTTTTCAATCTTGACCTAAACACACCCTCACTTTTAGTGCTGACTGTCCGCCAGGCGAGACTGCCAGCGAGCCCGGTTATTGAAGAAACACTTGGGGTCTGTGTGACAGACAGTTGGGAGATTGTAAGCACACTGCAGACACAGGATGGCTCTTACTGTTTGAGGCACTCGTTGTCCCATGGGAGAAAATTCTAAAGCCTTCAAAAACCTAAAGATTATTTATGATCACTCCCTAGTTATCTATAAATAGAGACCTCGCTTTATCCATCTGTGGTGCCATCTATCTATGTCCATTCCAAAGAGATTGCTTTACCGCTACATATGTCCAGAGAATGAAATTACAAATAAGAGGATGCCGTTAGGGCCGTTATCCTTCAGTGGTGCTGCGTTGCTCAGCTGCTTTTTTCTCCTGCAGCTCGTTATCCAAGCATCTCCATTCATGCTTTCCTTGAAAGGTCTGTGGGAGTTCTGGTGAGCGAGCAGCACACGAGTGTTGCTGATGATGCGAGTCCTGAAAAGAATATGGAGTGGAAAAAATGGAAGTACCTTCTAAACCTCAGACTAAAATAATGGATAAAGGGAATGGTGTTTAACTATTATTAATAATAATAAAACACCATTCCATTTACCCATTATTTGTAATAATATGAAAATAATATAAACATGGCCTAAAAATGTTTTTGAAGTCCCTCTATGGGACTTTGGATTCCATCCTTTGGCCAATTCAGTCTCATTACCAGATTACTAATAACCCATATGTTATAGTATTATAGATTTCCCTTGCTTTTGAGTTTGTTTTAAAACAACACTGGCAGGTAGCTGTCCAATCTGTCACCAGATGGTGCTGTTAGGGAGTGAAACCTGAACTGAACTGAGGAGGGTAAACACAAATTCAACAGTGACAGCTCAAGAGTGAATGGCTTGACCTGAACTTTATCAGCTTGTTTCAGTGAGTTCGTCTTCCCTGAGATATTGACTGTAAGTTTGTTGCAGAATCGAGCTATACATTTTTTTTAGTTCAGCTGGTGTCTGTGCACAACACATTGAAGCACCTGAATTGAATTGGCATGTACATTTTAGAAAGTCTTTCCTGAAAATTTGCTGTAATAGAAAACATTTTTATTCATGAAAACGTCTTTAATGGCTTGAAATACTAAAATGCTTTGAATTCTATTGAAACCTAAATTTGTGTGTCAAGAAGCATTGCATGACCCAGCAGAAGTTGCATGACCCAGGTCTGTTTTGTCTTGTCTTCTGTTTTTCTAAACTGTTTTGCCATTGCAGGAGGAAAACGCTGTTAAAAGTGAAGATCAAGATCCATGCAACCAACCTGCTGTAGGCACTGAAGAAAGCAGTCCCTTGAAAAAAGTAAGAAGTTATTGAAGTTGCATTAGATGTCTATAAACTATTTTTATGCTTGTGGGTTTTAGCAGATCATTTCTCATCATCTCAGCTGGAACATATGTGAATTGAGTATGGAGAGGTTACGGTCAGTGTAAGACCTTGTCAACACCTCATGATGTGTGGTATTTTAAAAATGACCTGTTGTTGCGCCAAATGATATGATGAAATGGAGTGAGCTAAAGAGTTGCTGCATTCATGGGTATTTTTTCTGACACTGATGAGTGGCTTGTATGCTCAAAGGCATAACCATGTTCCTTTGAAACAAGGATTTTGCTGGCTTCTTTATTCCTGTTTGCTTGGTGTACAGGAGAAATAAACTGTTCAAGGCAACTGCAGCTTAAGTGCTCTTTAATCAAGATCAAGAAGGTACTACTGCAGCCCAGAACTGTAGGGTTAGATCAGTTTTGTAACAAGTCATGAGAAGCAATTTCCATAGCATTAATCTAAGGAGTGAGGGAGATTTAGAGGTATCGTTTATAAACTCCCTGGTATGATCGTTTTCAGCTCAACTTTTTATAATGCCTTTATGAACCTGACCCATGATCCTCTGTGATTCTACAAATGCAGAATATGCAGATAAGGTTGCCACATGACAGCAGTTCTGATGTGGTTTTATAAACACTGCTTTAGGGTTTTTGTTCTGTATTTTAATTTTCTTTCAGGAGGTCATGCTATCCCAACCTCCTCTGAAGCCCGTTCGCAGGAAATTTCGCCCAGAGAATCAGAATCCAGATGCTCAGGATTCCCCCTCTCCATTGACATCTACCTCCTCCGTCCCTGCGGCCAAACCTGCTCAGAAGTACAAATCTAACTCTGACCATCTGGGGAGTGAAGGGATTAAAAACCAATATAATAATATATAAGGCAGTCAAGTTATTTTTTTATTCTCAGACTTATAAAAATTGGTGTTTGTTAGGCACAGCAATCCTTCTTTTCATAATAATCACAGTTCTCGCATGTAGAAATGGTAACGATCATGCAAAGTGGATTTTTAGGTCTCAGATGCATATTTACTGTACATACCTTCCTGTGTATATCTAATTACATTCAGGGTACCTCAGTCGGGAGTGATATCGTAGTGCTGTTGCGTCAGTTTCGAGGTCCTAGGCATGATTCTAGCCCTCTCTCCATTAACTCTCTGTTTACTCGTGGGTTTCCTCAGTGATTCAGATTCCTCCAAAGGAAAGACATCGGTATATTCTAGGTAAATTGCCAGCAGCTATGTGTCCCTGCAACTTACAGCTGGCAGCCCACTGAAGCTCACGGATGTGAGTCTGGTCAGTACCTGGATGGGAGACCTCCTGGGAAAGCTAAGGCTGCTGCTAGAAGAGATGTTAATGGGACCAGTAGGGGGCGTTAACCTTATGGTTAGTGCGGGTCCGAATGCCCCAGTATAGTGATGGGGACACTGTACTGTAAAAGGGTATTGTCCATCAGATGAGATATAAAACCGAGGTCCTGACTCTCTGTGGTCATTAAAAATCCCAGGGCATTTCTCTAAAAGAGTAGGGATGTAACCCCGGAGTCCTGACCAAATTTCCACTTTGACTTTACCAATCATGGCCTCCTAACAGTCGCCACCTATGAATTGGCTTCATCACTCTGTGTGGGGAGTGTACTGGGACACATGCAACTGCAGATGTCGCATCATCCAGGTGTGGACTACTGTACATACTGGTGGTGGTGGAGGGGAGTCCCCATTACCTGTAAAGCACTTTGAGTGGGAGTCCAGAAAAGCATTACAGTATATAAGTATAAGAATATTATTATTATTCTGGACTAGTGTCTAGTGACTAGTGTCCTATTTTGCTGGGCCTGCTGAGTTAGACTTCTGAGGGTAAAGTAGTTACTGATTGGGATAAACTGTTGCACAAGTCTTTATCATGGAAGTTGTGTACGCCTTTGAGCAAGCAATGGTGGTGTGATGCCCGAGGTTGCAGACAGTAGCAAACGCATTTATTTTCCCCAAATTAAAGATAAGCTCTCTGATCAAAGTAACTTTTGATGTTCAGTGGTACCACTTTACTTCAGGTAAATGAAATGTAATTCCTAGCAAGGGTTTTATTGCTGGCTTGTTTTTCTCATGTATCTCGTAGTACCACTGCCATGAACGGGGAAATGGAAACTGCAAAGCAATTCGGCTTGATGGAAACTTGTGTCTTTTTAGAAGACAACAAATTCCATCAAAAGTCAAAGTTTTTATTTTCCAGTATTCATCGTTTGCTAAAATGAATGACACATTGATAAATAAGAACACATGTTTGTACTGAGAGGGGTAAAAAAGGAATAACATGACTGTGAAGCACTTTGATTTTCAGATGATGGTTGCTCAGAGGGTTAATTTAATCCTTACAAACACTGTTTCGTTTAATGAAGAACAGTTTTCTCCTGATAGAAAGGTGGTTGCCTTAGAAACAGGGCTGTTACTTAGTTATTGAGGCAAGTAACACATCCAAAAAGGGTGAAAATACCTGCTTTCCCTGAGCTTGACTTAACTTTAATTCACTTCTCTTATGTGTTATCATGCCATTAAAATCTGTAACCGTGGTTAGTTGTTTAAGTGTTTGGTCTGAAGCCAGTGTGCAAATAAAACAAAAGCTTTTAAAACATAAAAGGTTAAAACAAGAACCAATTGAAAATAATTCAAGAATGCATCCCTAATCCTTCAGAGCAGTGAAGGTTTTTATGATTTGTTGACAGAGGTGTTTAAATGTTGACACAGTGTAATGACTTTAACGCATGTTGCTATGCTATCCTAATCAGCTTGGGTCCTTAAGGGTGAAGTCACAAGAAAGTGACCAGCCATTGCTGACAGCCTTTTGCTTGTTGTTTGAACCACTTTTTTTTTCGGCACTAAGCAGAGATATCCCACACAACAAATTATCTCCATCTTTGCAGACAATCCTGCCGGCAAAAGAAGGACATTCAGACTGCGATCCGGAAGAATAAGGAAGCCAACGCAGTGCTAACCAGACTCAACAGTGAACTCCAGCAGCAGCTCAAGGTCAGGCCCTTCCTCTCTTTCCAAAACAGCAAGTGTATCACGGCAGTAACACCTTGTATAAAGGTTTTTTCCTCTGAAAGTGATAATATGGTTTAAATTCTCTTTTTCATCTCACTGTGCAAGACCCCCCAGTTGAATGCTGCTGGTTGCTCTTTGTCTTCTGTATTTTAAAATTCTCATTGTAGACACTGGCACCTGCCTAGTTGCACAGATGCTCAGATGTAATTCTGTATTTCGATAATTGTGTATCTTGCTTCCTGGTTCTGAACAGTAGACAGTATGGACAGCTGTAATTGAGATGTGTTTTAGTTTTGTTTGCACCCTGAGTATTTGTACACTGAATGTATTTTACATTAACATTGTAGTTCTCTAAATAGTAAGGGCAGAAGAGACCGATCTTCTTTTCACAAAAGCAATAGTAATAACTGACACAGGAGGAACTGAACGCTAAGTGACAGAAAAGGTAGAAAAGGAAATAAACACACAATTATCATGACTTGCTGAATCATATAAGATGGTGCTTATTACGCACAAAAACTTAAAATACTCTGTTTCTCTAACGTCTGCTGAGCGTACACTTTTGTGTCCATGGTCTTTCAAGATGCAGCGTATTGTGTCTTTTGGCACTGCTGATTGCTTTTCAGAGTGTTTTGAGATGCGAGTTTCACATGATCTTGGAGAAGCTCTCCTTTACAGCATATAAAACTCCATTGCAGCTGTCCGTATCTGCGAGTGCCATGACGAGACGATGCTTTTGAAATGTGAGATCATGCAGACAAGAAACCTGAGCAGGATGAGTGCTGTGGCTTTTCTTCAGGCCAAAAAAGGGGGAGGCAATGATAGCACATCACATCAATCACAAACGTCTTCTAATACAGGGGTTCCCAAGCAGTGGGGCACTTCCCCCTAGAGGGGCATATAAGGATCCAAAAGACGGCTCAAGAGCTTTTTATATACAGCTGATTCAAAATGCGTACCAAACTTTTCTATTAGATAACGTTTTTACAGCTATTTAGTAGTAGATATGCAGGACTAGCCTTCTAACCGAGCTTCTCCTGATCTGGAAATTTTAATAATAAAACCATCAAAGCTCTCGAAAATGATCTCAAGGAAAGCATTGCACTGCATCTCATCAGTCTTCATGATGCATTCCAAAGATACTTTTGTGGACATAACACAAGAACTCTGAAAAGCGTGAGAAATCCTTTCATCTGTAGAATTCAGGCCTTTCCAGAAAACATCCAAGAAGAGTTTTTGGAACTAGGATCTGACACAACTGCCCGAGACATCTTCCAACAGTTAACTTTGGAAAGTCTTGGTTGTAATGCTTTCCTGTCTACCCAAAAACAGCCAGATCTTTGCATCCTTGTCCCATTTTCCTCCACTCATCTGTGCAAGGCTGGATTCTCTGTGCTTTTGTTAATCAGAAACAAGCACCACAACCGACTTGTTGTTGAAAGTGGCATGCACAAAGCCAAGAATTTCAAAACCTGTAGCATATATGGAGCATCAGCGCTTGCATTGATTACACTTGAAGCTAACTCTTAAATTAAGTGAAGTTCAGATGTGAATCATACTACCTTCATTCTGTTTCACTTTTTTTTCTAAAGTAAAAATTGTTTCGTTGATGTAAGATTAAGTTTACAAATAGCAATTGAACATATATAAAAAAATGTTTGCATAAAATTATTACCCATATGCCAAGGGGAGGGCTGTGGGTTTGAGTTTACTGAATGGGGGACATTGCGTTTCAGAGCTTGTGGCCCACTGCTCTAACACATATGCAGTTATTTCTGACGCTTCTAAATTGTAATGTTTTGAATAGATTGCATTTGCTTGAGTGTCTGATAAGAGTGTTTTCAGGAGGTAAGCTCACTGCATGAACTCACTCTAGACTGTTCAGAAGTAAGCTGGTGTTCCTGTGTCCCCTTTCCATTGCCTGGTAGCACTGATGCTCTAATGGACATTATTTTAGAAAGCCAGTTCCTGTGTTTATATGCATAACGTGTGTTTACCATTTGCAGATCAAATTAAGAGCTAATGAACATAAAAAATAATAGATATGCAGATAAGTGCATCCTCAAGAAAAAATAATCCTCTACACATTATAACAAGATATGCAACCTTAGGAACATTACATTTAAATGAAACTCTCACATACATTAAATCCATTATATCTAAATTAATTATTTTGTACATTTTAATTATATAATAAGGTCATAGAATGGTGCAAGAAATTACAGCTAAAAATTAAGGAGGAACTAACATCCATTTCTACATTAAAACAGACTCCCTATAATGTTGCACTGTGTATTACGTGTGCAATAAATTAAGATTCTGTGTATTAGAAAGTACATGTCCTGGCAAGTAACAACTTGCAAAGAATCATTTTGTGGCAACAGTGTTTTTGCACCTTAGATTAAAATGCTAAATCTGAATGTTGAATTTTTGTTTTGTGTTCAATCACAAATTAAAGTCTGTTGCACTGTGGAGTCACTTGGTGAGTAAATCTTGCTATTGTACTGGATAGCCTTTGCTTTGACAGGTGATATAGCTTTGTTTTTGTTCTTAAGATAAATTGCAGATGTTAAAACTGCCATATGGCATATGGTTAGGAATGGAATTTGGA